ACCAGCTGCAACGTGTGGGCCCTATTTGGTCTGGATCCAAACAGCAAATGACAAAACCCAACAAACAAAACCCCATAAAATAAACACGCTTGGTGAAGTGTGAACGAACACTGTATATTCACAATCAAAAAATTATTGTTGATTATTTCAGTGGCATGAGGTATGATGCCGTGATCATGTTCTTCTGATAATATACGTACTGAAATATTTATAGACCAAACGATAGGACATCTGAGATTTACTCTAAAATAATTAGTGTGGAAAAGGGTAGAGGTGCAGATGAAATAGAACTGGCCTTTTTGGTAGTCGCTGAAGTCCAAGGATTGGGTAAAACAGGTTAATCATGTGTTTTCTCTACTTTTGTATGAGATAACTTAAGTTTAAAAAGGACGCTGGCTGCTGTGTACGTAAGTGACTGAAGTCCACAACCTCTTAGGAGCCCACTGTGAAATTCGGACACTAGATGGCGCTATCGGAGGGGGAAGCGGGGTTTTGATTCTGGATGGACTTTGAAAGAAGAGTCACATGATTCCTGATGGAAACAATGTGAGGTACGAAAATAACCTCATTATCTGTACTTGGATTTTTTTAAAAAAATCACCATACATTCTATTTGATAGTTTTTAAAATCTGGTTTAAAATTTTTTTAAAATTAGCTTACTTTTTAATCAGAAAAGTGCAGATAATTTTTGTTTTGATAACAGTAACTAAAAACAAATGACGAAGAAACAGTAGTCACAGGCATTACTGTGTTTAAAGAACGGGACAGCATATTCAGATGCTAAGGTTTGGTGACCAAAGGCCATATGAGGCACCGAGCACATATTATGGAACCCTCATGTGGGGTACAGGGAAATTCCCTTTAATCACATGCATTAGTATTTCTGCAGTAAAACGTGAGCATTGATACTGAGATAAAGATCACAAATTGCCTTACATCAGATCAGGCTAAGTGTATTACCTACTGAGTTTTGGAGGCCGACTTATGTAAACATCTGGTTTTCAGAATCTTTCAGATTCTGGCATTTACGTAAGGAATTCCAGTCCAGTGTGGCATATGTGTATTGAGCACCCACTTCACGCCCTTGATCCTGAGAACCTGCTACAGTGGGGCTTAAAGCAGTAAACTGACAACTGTAATCGAAGGTGGGACGTGCCAGGCAGCCGAACGAGAGAGACGCAGGGCGCTAGGAGAGGGCTGCGTTCGGGGAACAGAACGGCCCAGTTTGACTTGTTCTGTCTGACAGAACACAAGGCTGCATGTTCTAAAACACAGGCAACTGATGCCGGAAAGGCTGTGTTTAGTGATGCTCCTTTAATCAGCATCAGCATCAGCAT